GGCTGGAAAATGACCCTGTGCTGTTGGCAAAAGGGAAGGCAGAAGGCAGGAGGAGAGGGGAGTGCAGCTGGTGAAGAAAAGTGAACTTCATGTGGGTGTTTTGCCTTCTGATAAAAGGTGCTGTCAGATCAGGGTAAGCCATCACCAGCTCTCCCTCTGTAAGACAGTTCCTCTGGGAAAAGCCCTTCAGAGACCTCAGAGCTATTCAAGTAAACTGCCCGAGAAGGGTGTCTCCACCTTTCCCTGGGTCTCTTTGAGGTCCTGTGTGCTAGCTGTCAGGCCTGTGCAGACATCTTCTTGGACATCCTTGAATACCCCAGGTTCTCTAAAATACCACCAGATGCCTGTTTAAACCCCTCAATACTCCTATACTGTCAACTTCATTTCATATGAAAATCACATTTTTGGTGACTAAATCAGCTTTTGCTAGTTTACTGAATACAAAATAGTTCACCACCACCAGCAGGTTGCATTTGCAAGAAACTGTAGCAACACCAGAAATAAAAATGATAGAGCAAAACATGTTCTTACTGAATAGCTGACAAATAGCAACAATTTTATGGCTTGATAACTTAAGAAAGACATGTTCTTTAGTCTATAAGTTTCTGATTTTCAGTATTCACAAGTCAATAGAACCAAGATGTCAAGCACCTTAAAAAAACCTGGTCTATTTTTATCTATCTGTATCATTACTCAGTGACAGATTTTATTTTCTGTGCTGCAAGCTACAGAATGTAATAAAAATGCAGCTTGCTGAAAATGTTATGTTTATTTGGGTAATAAAAATGTCAAGATTAAATATTTTAATTAAATATGCTTCTGTGTTTTCCTATAAAAGAAAACAAAAAAGGCTTAAAGAAAAAAATCTTTCCAAGGCCTTTGTGAAATTTTGCCGAGTCTTTAATTTTTAATGTTTCTTGTATATAAGATGAAGAAGAAATGAGATAAAACAGAACTATCCCAGCTTGTACTTTGATCAGGAAAATACCAACCTGGCAGGTACAAGAAAAACAACTGACACCAATGATTAATCTGTCCTTGCCACTCTCGTAAAAGCAGCTCATGCAGACTCTCCATCCTAAGGAGAGAAATTATCAAATATCAAATGCCACAAGTCCCTCTAAAAATCCTCAGATATGTTTCCCTTCCTTGTGTAAGGATAAAACACAAGAGACCAGTACCAAAACAGAAGGGCTGTAAATCTCCCAGCACCCTCTGGTGAGATGTCTTTCGTATCAAAAGTACATTGCTTGCAAATGCAATTCAGTCTTTTCCCTGCTAAAGGATGTTCCTTGCTAATTCTATTTTTCTGCATTTTTGGCTTAGCACCTTCCTGTCAAGCAACTTAGCATGAACCACTCCTACACCACTGAGAGCTTCCTATGTTCCCAACTGCTATTAGTTTGGTTAGGCCAGAGAGATCTGGCCCCAAAACGATGAAAGAATGCCTGGTTTCAAAGTTTCTTGAACATGCTAACACACTGGAAAGTCTTTCTCCCACAGATGACTTGATATTTTCACTTTCTGATAGCACAGGAGTGGAAGACCAGAGTAAAGCTCAGTTCAGGAAAGCTGCTGTGCTGACAACCCTTTCAAACCACAGAGAGCAAGAACATACAGAGAAATTATGCTGCAATTATCTTGCAGGAGTCAGTTATCGGCTAACCTGTTGGGTTAAAAATATCTACACATGGAAATAATTTGGAGTGATGGAGACGGTTTGGTTGATCTTGATTTAAATCCAGGAATCCATAGCCAAGCCAAACTCCAGTTTCTTTTGGTGAGAGAGCTTTCTGACTAAAGGCTGAACAGTTTGGGAATATTTGTAAAAAAATCCCATGGTATTTATTCATTAATGCATGTGGTTTTCAAAACTGAGGGTGAATTAAAAAAACAACATGAAGAGTCAAATCTATTTCATGTGCAAAAGCTACTTGGAGCAAACATGTGTACTAAATCTACGTATGAATCAAATGATGCCACACACTTTGGTGTTATCAAACTTAGGTTAATGTATGCCAAAAAGTAAAGTCTACTAAACTCTACATTTTAGGAGGTTTTGGTTTCTAATTCTGTGTATATCTGGAATAAGGAGGGTTTATAGATCAGGTTTTTAGATTTTTCAGACACGCTGATCCACTGTTCAGCTTTTCGTTGAAGACTGACACATCTTCCTTCTCCAAGGTTTCCTTGGAAACTGAAGCTGAACAATTTTTCTAGGGCTCCAATTCTGCATCTGCCTCTCTTGTAGAGTGCCTACTGAGTACAGGCAACATTAATTGCTAGGAAAGCAGGGATTTTCTATAGAAAGGACTGAGTGGTGATTGGTTTATCTGACTCTAAACTGGATAAATACAATGAATGAAGTACCAAGTTGCTCCTTTTCCCCTCAAATAATTAAAACGGAATGAGCTGCCTACCCGAAGTCGCACACACTCTGGGAAAGTTTAGCTGAGACTGATAGAGGCGCTGAGCTTTCTCAAATCCACAAAAAGTCAGAGGGGATGGAAAGCTCATGGCAACCCTGAGGACTGGGTCCATAATCAGCCCCATGCTCTGCAGAGTGGAGTTCAGGTTCAATCTGAGAAGTTTTTATTTTGGTTTTTAATAGGAGAATTTGGTCCTTGGAAATTTGGTCCTGGTCATTGGAAACTGACTTGGCCACTGTAGATACACCATGTCTTTGCAGCTGTCAAAGTGTAGGTCTTAAATTCTGGGAGTTTTTTCTATATATTAATTTTCCAACTAGATGCTGGCTTGGAAGGTAATAATAAATGCTCCCATTCTTCAGTGACTTTCAAGAGACTTGGTGGCTGCAATGGCAGAGCAATGACTAAGTTTTTTTCTGTACCAGGCGGGGAAACCCAAGCCTTTGCATACATGCCAATGGCCATTCATAACCAGACCACTCATTTCCTACTGCCAGGAGGAGTCAACTTGAGCTAGGAGCTACATCACATCTAGTATGTGTCATTAGTGACGAACATCATTTATCCATGCTATCTCAATATGCTAACTAGATTTTGATGCACCCTCAGCTCTAATTTTAGGTAGGTATATTCCTGATTTTAGACTTCAATAAAGTTTGGATTACTAAAGATGGAAATTTTATTATTTGCACTGATTTATCAGGTAGTCAGATCACATAACCTATCTGTTTCCTGAGAAATGAGTTCCTGTTGCAAATAATCCCAAATTTGAATTGAGAATTTAATTTCCATAAAAAGCCATAGTTGCTGGTCAGATCCTTGGTAGAAAGCTCTGTTTTAGAATATTTAAGGACACATTTTTTGTTTGACTGTGTTCATACACTGTGTCTACTAATTGAAATTAAAAGTATTTTTTCCAGTGTTAGCTTTGCTCTAGTTCTGCCACTTCTAACAAATAGTCAATTGGGATATTTCTGCAAGAGAGAAAACCCATTAAGCTTGACTCTTCAGTCAGGAAAATAAAATTCAAATAAATTGGTTTGGGTTTTTTAGATGGGTTCTTCAAGCAGACAAATGAAACACTTTTTAATATTCCAAATTTTCTTATCCATTTTCTAGTCAGGCCAATGCTTACTTCTTACAACTCTGATTAGTCTACTGGGACTCTGTCTCTGTAATTAACTTACAGAATCATAGATTCATAGAATGGTTTGGGTTGGGTAGGGCCTTAAAGATCATCGAGTTCCAACCACCCTGCCATGGGCAGGGACACCCTCCACTAGACCAGGTTGCTCAAAGCCTCATCCAGCTCCTGAAGTAATTCTTAAATGCTGTGTTCTATTTACTTCCAGTAGTTATCAGATGACATGTTCTAGCCTTTAGCAGTAGTCTATACACATGGCTCATATTTTTTAAAAATTATGCATACTTAGAATAATCTAATCTGTTGCTTTTCAGTGTCCAGCCCAATGAGGCAGTGAGGCAGCACACATTCACTTCATTAGGAGTGGAAGGTGCACAGCATGAACAGAGAGGCATTCACCTTACCGGCTCAACCTCTAAATAGCTACACATTCAGGCTTTTACTTTGGCAGTTCACATAAAACGTATGAGTACTGCACTCCTGCAAACACCTGAATGTCAAAGATAACAGCTTCGCTAGAGAAGCACATCTTCATCCCTGTTGATCCCTCCACTGACTGACTAAAAAAAATCAGGGTTTTTTCCCCCCCTGCGATCTTGATGAATCCTTTTGGCTGAAATTCCTGTTGCTGACAGCTCACCTTCCAGTGAATAGCCTTGTGGTGTGGGTCTGGGGTTGGGTTTGGAGGATCTAAGTTCACTTACTTCCCTGGTTTGTACTTTCCCTCACCTTTTGAAAGTGTCCCACCTTGCACAGAATAGTTTACTGTTCAGCCAGGAAGAAGGAGCGTATTACCCAATGTCTTGTTTCATTTTTTCATCAGGAAACTAGCTGGGATGTGGTATGAAGCAGCAGGTATGACCATAATTAATTGAGTGTCAAGTGGATCAGCTGCCTAGCATGTCCTGCAGCACAGCTACATCCCCCATTAGACAGGCGGACGGAGAAACCGAGCTTCTACTCGTAAGAAACATCTCCTCCCTCTGGGGTGAATGCCTCATTGCTGCGCTGGTGGTAACAAGCCCCAACACATCTTTGTTGACTCTGTGAGTGCTGCTTTTGTTTAAAATGTCTGAAATGGAAATGAAATCTTGTTCCTGGTCAGGATGTTTCACTTAACCCAAATTTCTATGTCTTCTGTTGTTACTATTGGAAATACATTCAAGTGACTTACATTAGTCAGTTATATCTTGGTACTAAGTAGTTGGGATGCACAGCCACTGCCTACAGGATGGTTTTATAATCAGGAGAGTAATGGGGTTCAGCTATTTTGACAAGCCTTTTCCTCCTGGAAACATGCTACAAACATGCATATGTGAAAGAACTTCAATACAAACTAGTAACTTTATCTAGATCAGAAAAACACTGGATATGTGTTCAACAACCAAAATATACAATGTAAAGAAAATGTCACAATTTTTACTTACTTTCTTTGTTTTGTCCATTGCCTTCAGTATGGTTATATTTAAGTCTTCCAAGACAGATAGAACATTTTCATACTCTCCTAAGTGCTGGGAAAAATATTCTAAAAGAAGAAGAAAACTCGTGTCAATTATTCATGATCTGAAAAATAAATGTTCCATTAAATATAAATGTTATCAAGTCTGAATTCAGTTATGGTATTATTAACTACCTAAACAGATAAAATGAACAAGAGTTACAATGAAAAGGATTATTTTATTCTTAAATTTTATATTATTCCCCCAAAAATCATTCCTGGAGTACTTAAATACCAAAATCAGTGTTTCAAAACATTTTCTTTCAATAAATGATTTGCCAAATTGACAACAATTTAAAAATTTTGAGAGCTGAAACAGACTTATTTCCAAAATACCTTAATTCTTTTTCTAAACTGGATTTTCAGTTTAATAGTCTGCTTTACAGTTACTGGCAGGAAATTAAATTTTCATGTGTATATACTAAATCTGATTATATTGATACAAACATGAATAATTCTGGTAAAGCCCTTAGAGGAGATAAGATCAAGTTGGGGTTGTTGTGAGCCAAGTTCAGCTGAGACCGTTTTTTTTTTTTTTCTCTGAGAAGTTAAGAGACGATGAGTTGGCCAGATAAGCTTCTAGTCCCAGCTACTGTGATTATATTTTCAACAGATAAGATGAATGTGATATACTTTTAACAAAACTCATGGAAATAACATAAGTTGCAGGATGTCCTTGCATAGCTGCTCAAAGCAAAGGACATTTTAACAGAAAGAGCTGATGTAAAATCGGGGGGGGCACAACTCAATCAGAGGGATTACAGCAAGAGCAGGAGGAAGACCTTCTGGGAAGCCATGACCCGAGTTCCCATTTCATCAGTGGTGAAATACAACAGAGGGAGGTACAGGAAGGAAAAAGCATGAAAAAGGAAGGAAGGAAGAAAGAAAATTATGTTAAAGCTAGAGACTGTGCTAGACAAGGCATTTAGACATCAGATCACCTGGAAGAGCATGAAAAACAACATCTAAATGGCAGACAGGAAGAACAAGACTAGATAGGAGCTTTCTGACATGATGAATAGCAATACCTTGAGGTTTTTAAGAGATCAGCATGAGCTTCTCAGGCGAGTTATGAAAGCATAAGCTTTCAGGAACACTGTGACATAACCTGGCATTGCTGAGAGGTTGAATTAAATGATTTAGAATGAAAACATATTGTGAATTAGTATCCTGGAAGTGAAGCTTCATTTCTGAAGAGAACTGAGATAACTCAGAAAGAGCTGTATAATCACTACTTTAAAATAGAATAAACCCACTACCAGATTCACAGATGAGAAACACCCTAGTGGCAACCTATGAAAGATTTAAAAGGCAGCTGAAGCAGCCCATATTTAATCAGAAGAGACAGTAAACAGAGCCAGCGCTGGGCTAAGACCCCCTCAGCCCTCTGGCCAGCCTCAGGTGGCTCGTGGGGTCACGTGCTGGGCAAATCTGTAAGCCTCCAGTGCTACACCAACAGCAGTAAATCCCATGTGGAACAACCCCCCCGTCTTCTTTTGCCAGGTTTATATTATTTTGTCTAGGTTCTCAACCAGCAGAAGTCTTCACAGCCCAATGCACTTCAGCAGACTCTCTTGCATATATTTATAAGCCATAGAGATAATAGAATCATAGAATGGTTTGGGTTGGAAGGGACCTTAAAGATCATCAAGTTCCACCCCCCTGCCATGGGCAGGGACACCCTCCACTAGCCCAGGTTGCTCAAAGCCTCATCCAGTCTGGCCTTGAACACCTCCAGGGATGGAGCATCCACAGCTTCTCTGGGCAACCTGTTCCAGTGTCTCACCACCCTCATTGTGAAAAATTTCTTCTTAATGATGCCTCTCAGTAGGTTCTTGGCCATGGGTAGAGTTGCTCTGTGGGTGAGTAAATGAGCTGGCATTCAGCTTGAGAGGGTTTTCAGCTTTTATAGGTTTTTCAACATTGTTGACCATTGGAAAATTTATCAGGCTACCATTTGCTGACATCTTTCCCTCAGAAATACGCTGGATTTGACATTTTGTGAGAGGACTTGCAGAAATTTTCTGTGAATTGTTTTCAGCACTCTTAAATCAGGTGTTGTAAGATCAGCTGAGAGCAAACAGGGTTTTGGAGAAATGAGTCATAACCCAGAACAGGGAACAGAAATGGGTAACTGGCCCAAATTCTAGGCCTTGCAGGAGGTTTTTGTGACGAAGGATGGAAGAACTTGTCAAACTGCTATTCTCACTGGCTCAGGTTGGAGAAAAGTAGAGAACTTTCCTCCAGTGGGTTTCTAATATGACAATCTCTTTCAAAATTTCCAAAGCACTCATACCTTGGAAAGTGATGAACTACCTAAAAAAAATATTTCACATGAAACTGAAAGAAGATAAAAGTTATCTGTCTATATCAGAACAGATCTTGAAGCTCAGAGAATGTAAAGTATTGATTAGGAAAAATATCTTCAAAGTAATTTCTGCATGTAATGGATGACAGAGTCTGAAAAGACTATAAGCCATCTGCATTTTCCCAGGAGTTCTTTCAATTGAAATAATTTTCTGTTTGAGCTACAAAGATTAAACAGGGGAAAAAAAAAATCATATCACATGGTATGTTCACTCACACAGGGCTGCTGCAGGCATAGATCATGTTCTTGCCCCAAAAGGAACTTACCGCAGAGCTCTTCTGTGTCGAGATTGCTGGAAAGATAAGAGGATAGAAAGTTAGGGACCTTGGTAATGGCTTGTTTTTTGTTAGTCTGGTAAATAGTAGGACTCAAAGATTAGCCTCACTGGGATGTGAAGCCTCCTTGCCTGGGCTGTGAGTGCCTGGCCCTTGCTGGCCTTGCCCATGGATCAGATGCTAGATGAAGGAAAACCCAATGACTTTCTCCTGTTTGCAGCCCTCGCTGGGCAGTAGTGCTCTATGGGAGAGACAGTACAGTGGGAGAATAAAACCAGACATAGCCCACCAGCACACATAACTTCTAAGACTTTCTGGCCATACAAAACCTTTTCACCAGTACTAACTTCATCAAAATTAGTGATGCGAAAAGTATAGCTGCATTGCCAGATTCCCATGCCAACATTATATAAATGCACAAATGTATGCAAGTATTCTATACAATTCAAAACTAGTCACTTCAAACAGATTTCATCTTGATTAACTCTTCAGCAACATTTTCTCTCTGACGCTTTAACAGTCAAAAGAAAAAAACTTTTGACCTACAGCTCAATTTTGAAAGTTAGCATATTGACTTTCTTCCAAGGAAGAGAATAAACTGATTATTTAAGAAACTTAAAAGCACGAATGTCATTTTTGAATCTTGCTGAGGGGTGAATATTGAATGGTTGACTTCACTTAGCATTTTTTCACTTATCTTTATAATAGGATTTTTTTTTTTGACCTTTTAATAAAATGATGACACAGTACTATCTTAAAGTCACTTTCACCAATGCTAACTTCCATACATCTCTCTTATACTTCACAAGGGAGAAAAATGGATCAACACTGCAGGAGCCTGGGTTGTCACAATCTTACATGCTCAAGGCTATAAAAACTTCTGAACACTTTTAATTGATGATGTAAATGAGATTTTCCCACAATTTTATTAACTAAAGGTGACCTTATCTGCATTTGAACTGGCCAAGTTGGATGGCTGCAAATGAGTCTTGCATCTGATTTTTCCAATTACCTCGGTGGCAGGTATAACGAAATTCACAGTCTGTAAGAACTGGTGCTGAAGCTGAGAAACTTAACTCTTAGGTCAACAAACTATGTGATGAGAAAAAGCATCTGTGACTACTTAAGGCTGTTCACCACCGAACACTGTGGCATCTATGATCGAACATGTCTGACCAACCACTCTGCAGTTCAGCTGTCACTTTTGGAACAGTCCAGATGTTCATTCCTTAATGCAAACTGAAAACCCTGAAAGCTGGCAAATTGCCTGAGTCAAAAAGCAATGACAGAATATGATGATGTTAAATGACAGGAGTTTGCTGTTATGATGCCTACTCTGTTCACTGTCCCTGCATTTTTCTGCCCCTTCACATCATCTACCCTAACACCTTCTCTTTGTAAAAGGTATTTCTGCATTTCTTAATGTACAGCTTGACAATTGTGTTTAAAATAGCCTTTCACATTGTTGGCCAGTCAAATTCATGCTCTCTTTTCAAATTTCAAATTAAAATTCGTTCTGGTACTTGTTCTTCTGCAGTATCCTCAGCAGTGTGGTAGTGATACAGTAAGGGAGTGGCTCCTAGGCTTTCAGCGTTGCTGTCATCAGGACATCCCTGTTAGTCCTACTGACAGGAGCAACACAGCTGCAAATGGACTATGGGTAAAAATGGAAAACCATTTAGGTGCTGAATTGATTTTCAGTTAGAATTGTCCACCTGAATAACAAGCAAATTATTGTCCAACGTTATTTGTGCAGCAGCTTTCAGGAACCCTGTGAGAGAACATAGAAATGACAAAAAGAGCATGGATTTCAGTCTAGCATATTCATAATATTTCCTTCTCTGTTATAAATATCCTATGAGGCTCCATTGTTCTTGGCATTGTAGTTGAAGGGGATGCTGTTCTGGGCAAGGAAACTATAATTTTGTGTCACTGACTATTTCATTCTCTCTGAAATAATAACATGCTGCTTCAAACACAGTCAAGAACAAACATAGAAATCCTTTTTTCTGTATATAAACAATTTTGAGTTCCCTGAAGGACACTACAGAAGCAATCAAAGAAGTCTGGAATGCATTTAATAGTACAGGACTGAGATGCACACCAGAGTGCTGTTTCTGCAATTCAATACTCAGGTTTATGGCGGGCACCTGTTCATCACTTCAGTGGGTACGCATGCCAAGGATGCTTCTGCTTAGACCTATAATCTGGCAATGCTGAGCATGTTATTTGCAATATTTGCTGGATGACTCCAGCACTCCACTCCTGATAAGCACCCAAAGCATAGGGTGCAGCCAAATACATTCACATCATGTCAGCATGACCATTTTTAAAACTTCTGCTCTCAGTTCTGACTATTAAATGCAGTTCTTTTATGTCTGACTTCGTGTCTAAAATGTTCCCTACCTAGTAATATGAGCTATTTTTAGAGGGCTATTACAAATATTCCACTAAGCAGTTCTGATCACTGCAAAGTTGATCATACCTGTTGCTCAGTGACAGAAACATAAGCAAATTCACTCAAATTAACTGTGGCAAAAGTGCCTATTTGTGGTACCTCTGGAAGTGGCCCAAAAAGTAGGAGGGCAAAGCAGCTGTGATCATGCTCTAGTTCTGCCCACCACAGTCAGCTGTGGACAGGGGCCAGCCAGGGAGGAGGGAAGGTTAAAGCTATTCCACCCATGTACTTGTGTGAATCCACTGATCCACAGCCCCATCCACCGACCTGACACATACCGTTCTCTGGTATGAAAGGTACCTCTAGGCAGAGCTACCAGCAGAAGATCTGTGTATTTTCCCTGGAGCACACAAAGAGGCAATGACATTGCTTCAGCGCAGGAATTTATAAAGTATGGACTTTTTGCCATCTAAAGCAGTTATTTTATTTAAGAATCCAATACTATATGAAAAACTTATTTAGGAAATTCATTGCCATGACTATCATAGTTGAAGAAAGATAACACTTCCTTCTTCAGATCCCTCTTCATTCTCAGATAGAAGGATTTACTTCAGAGGCTTTAACCAACTTTTTTTGGGTCCCCTTTGCATGTCTCATTGCTAAATTTTGTTACAGGGAGGAAAGTTTGAGGCTAGTATCTCCTATTGTTAAATAGAAGCATATGATTTGTGACTGAAAGGAATTAAGTGTTACTTAGACTATGCAAGGGTAACTGAATAGTCATCCTTGAACAATCTCAGCCAAAAAGCTGTAAGCTCTTTAGAACAAGAAAGCCTGCATACCATCCCGCTTCAAGTCAGCAAAATGACATAAGTGCTCCAACACTACAGAGGGTGCTGTGCAAAGGAGTCCTATATGTGCACTTCCATTTTAAGGATATTCTGCTTTACAGCTTCTTTGCAACAGCAAAGAGCTTTTCGCTCAGCTTTGTTCAAGGTTTCTTATCAGTGGAAGCAAAACTGCCTTTTGTCATCAGTAAGGTGCGGTGCTGGGACAAGCCCACGCATTGGCCTCTTGTCACAGAAAAGGGAGAAGAGGAAGATGGGGCAAAAAGTGGGACAGAGCTCCTGGGACTGGTCCCTGGGAAGACAAGCTTCCTACTGCCCTGCGGACACCGCTGCTCTTCAGCCCCAGGGCTAACTGGGCTGGGCACCCTCTGGCCTTTCAAACGTGGCAGCCAGTGTGGCTTCTGGGCTCTGACACAGGCAGTGGGGTCATGGGTGTTTTAATGTCCCACATTTTGCTGCACTAAATAATTGCCTGGTTTGCTTATGCTTAGCTTCAGGCCAAGTGATAACTTCAGAATCGCCACTTACTGCTCTGCCTGTGGCAGGACTAGAAGAAAGAATAAAGGGTTTTTTTCTCCTGACTAACAGCTCATCTGAAAAAAATCCGTAGTCCTTTGCATTAGGCAATGATTCACAATGACTACATAACTGGCTAGCCACCTTAATAATCCCAGCTATAACATATAATCTCTGTGTTGCTAAAAGAGTCTTAATAATACTATTAAAAGCTGTGGTGCATGCCAAAATCTGCAGAGAACTGTACAAGGGCTACAGAGCTATGATTTTTTAACAGAGTCCGAATCACGCCAACCTAAACAAGGAGATAAGAGGCAACGTCATGGTGGATCTTTTGCCACAAGGAGCAAATTTCAGTTTTCACCCCACAAAAGATGTTTCAACTTCTGCTTTTGTCCCAAAACAATTTTTTTTTAAACTTTGATAAAAATATTTATTCTTATAAAAACCAAAATGTTTCTTTTTTTTTTTGGTTTTTTTTGGGTTTTTTTGTTTATTAAACTCATTGGAAATGCATATGTTGATACTGGAAACCCCAGATTATGGAAGGGACTAGACCCTCAAACTACACCTACCATTAAGCAATGAACTCACTGTTTAGAAGCCAATGTTATCTTCTGAAGAAATTATGTGAACTGAAACATTCTAGGTCAGCTCCATTTAGGTCAATGCGATTGAAACTACTCATTACCATCTGATTTTCCCAGTGTGAGTTATTATCTTTCTTTTTTTTTTTTTTTTTTTTTTTTTTTTTAGAAAGGTGAATTTATCTTTAAAAATAGCCATTCATATGGAAAATTTTCAAGCCATTCTATTTTCAGCTTGTCTGTCCGGCCAGAGAATCTGTTCTCATCAGGACTCTGTAAATCATTAGCAGTGAACTTGCTTTGCTCTGTCATGAAGTACTGGACTGTATAATGAGCTCATTCTGACCAGTATCTTGCCCTTTTCTCAGTTCTTTATTTCCACAGATTTCTGTAGCTATTGTCTTGAAAAATCTGAGAGTTTAAGCCAATAGATGCAATTACATCTCTTCAATAGTAGCAAACACACCTTTCTTACGTCAGTGCTGCACCATGTGCCTGAAATTCTTATTTCATCTAAAAATCTAGTTTTTAAAAATGGTCAAAACCCAATTAATTCTTTTCCTCCTTGCAATTTTTTGTGTTCAACAACTCCTTTTTAGAAAAAACACTTTTCACTCACCTGCAGGTCAGCTAATTAAAGGGCCTGTCCGTATCTCATGCTGGTTTTA